GTTAGGAATTAGATTTACGGTTTTCATCACGAATTGACACAAGCTATAATGCCAGAAATTTATTTAGTCAAATGGATGAAAGGCTTTCACGCCAAAATCCAAGATTTCTCATCTTATACCTGATTGGTTCGTACACAAATTATATTCTTGCCGTTTTATTTGTTATAGTCGCTCAATTAACACGTTTTGCACAAAATGTCTTGTGAACCCATTGTACGTTAGCACTGAGCCCTGAAGTTGGCGCCATAACCTTGAAATCTCTATTACGCTTCTGATTGACTTGTCCATAGATTAGTGTCTCGTCCAACTTACTATTATTCGTAAAACTCAGTAATTACATATGATGTATATTGAAACCGGTGACGTAATACTTCGCCCAAGTAATCCGCTCAGTGTGCACATATAAAAACAGAAACGGATCAGTAATAATCCTTATTATATAAATAACAAAAAATTGTAAACGCTTATTAATACCTTCATGCTCATCTGATAGTTTAGTGGTTATCTTCTGAGCCCGTAATTTGATTCCATTAAGAAGGAACAGTAAATGAGCAGTGTACATAAATTCCCCTTTTGATTCATTATTTTATACTGGGGCCAACCCCGTTTTTTAAAACTCGTCAGTCTTCCGTTCGTGTTGTTATTCGTATTGCTTATGTTTTTCTATCTCTTCTACTCGTTTTTTTCCTCGGTTAGTAATAGCCCTACATTCATTTGGTGATACATATTACTTATATCTGTCTGTATAACTAGCGCACAACACGCATTTACAAGTAAGACTATTCAAACTAGGCGACACAGTGAAGGTTATTTTTAAAAATATATAGTACGAAAACTTATAACTAAATTATGGTGATGATAAGATCGTATTTAAGTTATTCACAAACTGCTCTTCAAGAGAGGATATGTTTGCTCGAACTTATAGACTGGTTGTCATAATTTTAATTCTCATATTTCATACCTTCACCACTCAAAATATCTGTAAAGAACAGCTGCTACGCTTGTTTGTGATGGGTCAAAGATTGAGGGAACTTGGGATACTAAAACTACTCAGCTGATAATTATCTAAACACTAACAGTGACAATTGTATATGGAACAACCGTAACGGCTGTATAGTATGCTATAACATCGTAACATCAATGCTTAGCTTAAGAAAGCCAAATGTATCTTTTTAAACCAGTTCATCATATCCTTGTAACCTTAACATTTTGACAGTCTTGATCAACTACCATTACATTAAAGCTTCCCAATGAACGGAATAGAGTGCGATCAATCTTTTAAAGTTACCGTCAGAATCAATGTGAGACAAGCATTGACATTACCACTCTTAGCAACAATTATACCATCTAGCCTAGCTAACGTACTTTTTTAAAAAATATGCCCACACTATCTAAACGCCTTTACAATGTTGATTCGATGTTCGTCAGAAAATGTTGATCATGAATCGAAAGTGGGGGTGTGACGGAAAAAATATGCAGAAAATCCCTCCAAAGCATTTCATCGGATAGTATTTTCATTTATGTTTTTTTCACTATTTCGCATTCTAACCTTTGTTCAGGTCTCTTAACCATACCTCATGTCCCTTGTTCATCGTCATCTGAGCTTTTATTATTCAACCTTGGTTAAAAAATCACCATTGACTACTCGATCTGACAACTGCATGTTGCCGGATAACTGACAATAAGGTAGTGTTTGACTCAACTCAAGATCACTGTGTGGTCCAGTGTATTTTTGTTAATCTTCATCTTTCTGTTTGAAAAGGTTGCTGGAATCCTTACAGGTAGATATTTCATCCCATATTGTTGGGATTACTTTTATTGACCCTTATGTATCGGATATTTTTTGTAACTATTCATTTTTGCTGTTTAGCACGTCATTTTGCGCTAGGGGATTATTTTATTGCATAACACAGGCTGTACCGTTTGAGATATTTTGTACATTCGACATAATGTGTTTTTTTCTTTAACTAGAACCGTTTAAATTGAGCACAAAATTTGTGCTTTGATATAGTTTTATACGAGTCGCTCAAAAACGCTTCGCACGCCATACAGAAGAACGTAGGTTGACCCAACTCAATAAACTTTGTTTCTTTAGTTCTGTATTCAGACCGAATACTGAGATTTCACTCATTACAGATGTTTGGGAGGCGTAACTAACTACACGTAAAAATTCAAAAGAGTAGAACCGGAAGTAGAATTAGTTGTCAGGCACGTAGATATACACACTTCTTAGAAAGCAATATCTATAAGTGGTTATGGTTATGATGTAAGGTGCAAACTATGTAAGCGACGTCTACCTAAAAATTCCCAAACAATTTCATATGTTTTAAGATACAAAAATGTGCTAGCTTTTTTAGCTCTTTTGAGTGTAATCATCGTATGGCATGTCTTATTAGGTTATCATCTAAGCTGTACAGTAACTGAGTTCGTAGACTTAAACCCAATTCAGTATAATGAGCTTACTTATATCGATTATTTGTTTGTCTCTTTCTGGTTAAATACTTTGATGCTGCTTCAATCAAAAGGCACAACTTCAAAGTCATAGTGTCTAACAGCTTTTCAGACTGTCCCATGGTGGGCAGATGACATTTAGTTCAATGTAGGCAAGATCTTACCAAGTATAATCATATTTTAATAAGGGTAGAAAAGAATAATATGGACAGAGCATCAAGTCAAGCCGCTATACATGAAAATCGTATGGAATCAAACGGTTAGTCGACATCAGCCTATCTTGATCCTCAAAATTCACGGCAAACGCTCTAAAGTTCAATGATCTGTCATCTTTCGTAGGGATGCATTCATTATGACAAATAATTTAGCTAAGGTACAACCTTAATTCACTGAAATAACAGCTCTATTACTTGCGTTTCTGTTCTCAATTCATTTTCATCGTTATTAGGTGTGATCATCCTTTTTTTCTTATGTAGCTTTTAAAAGCGATCGGATAATTCTACCATAAATACCCTGGACAGTCCCAAAGATGAAGAAGCACGGTCATCCTTGAATAGGCCAGGATATCCGATGTTTATTAAGACAAAAGAAGAAAAGTTGGAATGTTGCTATCAGCCTTGGCACAGCAGGTTCGATGGAACGCTACACATCGGTAAGAAATACATGTATAATTAAAATCCGGAAGCTCAAAGAAAATATGAAATGCAGTTGGCTCATTCTGCACTCAAGCAGCCTAAGAGAATATTCTCGTGCATAAACTGCGGAACAAGAATGCATCATTGGATTCACAACCTAATTAAAGAAGGGAATGAATCTGAAATGATAGAGGAAGATCAGGAAAAAGCAGAGGTTATGGCTGACTAAGTTGGGGCAGTTTTCACTCAGGAACCTTCTCTAGACAAAGAATCAGACCAAAAAACAGAGTCAACAAACCATATGCTCATCGTGAACTTCGGTCAAGACGATGTACTTAAGGCTCTTAGCAACAATCAACAAAATCACACACCCCCAAAAAAAATTTTCGAGATATATTGTACAATATATCACGGTCCCACTGACTGTGATATTCAATATGTCAACTGACCAAGGTGTGTTGCCTATGGACTGGAAGGACGCAATCGTCACTCCCATACATAAAACAGGACCACGACAACTTCCATCAAACTACAGACTTGTAAACCTCACCAGTGTTGCGGTTAAAATATTGCAAAGAATAGTCAAACGGACCATAACGGCATTTATGGAAAACGAATAACTTGCTAAACATAGAACAATATGGTTTTAGAAAGGGTCTATCTTTATAGGGTCTGTCCTTATAGCAAGGGAATTTTGGATAAAGGTGCTAGACAATGGAAACTCAGTGGATGCTGTCTACACAAACTTCATTAAGGCTTTCGACAAGGTGCTAACTAATAGACTGTCATTGAAGTCGGAAAACCTTGGTATTGCTGAACCTCTTTTAAAATAGCTTAAGGATTTATTAGTAGGTCGTAGACAGAAAGTAATAATAAATTAGAAGTGCTCCAGTACTTAGTGGAGTACCTCAAAGTTCCGTCCTAGGTCCTTTACTTTTTATACTGTATGTAAATGATCTCCCAAGTATAGTACAGTCCCCAATGTTGTTACACGCTGACGATGTAAAAATCTGGCAAGTAATAACTTGAAACACAGACGTGTGTGCTCTTCAGGTAGACTTAAATGATATGGTCAACTGGTCTAAAGAGTGGCTGATGCCTATCAACACGGCAAGGTGTGTCTACATGCATTTTGGGGATTCAAAGGTCAATAGGTAGAGCATAGAGGAAGTGCCAGTGCTTGTCGTTCGGTCTCATAAGGATCTAGGGGTGACAGTGAGTCAGGATCTCAAGACGACAGTCCATTGCCGGGAGGTTGCAGCTAAGGGGTTTCGAACACTCTGGGCTTTAAAACGGACATTCACTAAGTTAGATATTACCATGTTCCTCACAATATACACATTCCTAGTGAGAACTAAGCTTGAGAACTGCGTTCATGCTGCAAGCCCCTGTCTAGAAGGTGACTCGGATATCCTAGAAAAAGTATAGAGGGCAGCTACCCGTGCATTTCCAGAACTTCGGGGTTTATCATACAAAAAGCGGCTTGAAAAGCTGGACCTCTTTACTCCGTTCCATCGCAGATTACGAGGAGATCTTATTTTAACGTATAGAATACTGATATATGATTTTGGACCTAACAATTACGAACCAAGTACCCGTAGCATACAGGTTTTCACATCAATTCATCAATACTTGGAACATATTATCCGAAGCCGTGGTGTCCGCACCTTCAATTGACTCATTCAAGAGAAGACTGGACACTCACAGGAGCATACTAGAAAACGGGGAACATGGGCCGTAGGCCTTCTGTACTTACTACACGAATCTTTATATTTCAGATTCTCTGTTGCAACAAACCTACATATAAAATAACCACCTATTTCAACCCAAATTAAGTTTCAAAAAGTGTCAGTGTCATAGACTCACCTAGAACTAAGAGAACGAACAACATTCAAGTTATAATGATTTGTTTAAATGGGTCATATTCTTACATTATTAAGGCAACAGTTTAATGACAATTACAAAAAGATGTCGAAGGCCACATTATGGAATAACATATTATCAGGTTAGTTGTATTGAAATTAATAATAGTAGTTAGTTAAGTTTTCATGTCACGATATTCGCTTCAAGTTGAGTGATGTCACTTGGCTCAGGAAATACTTCCAGCAAAAAACACCTAAGTTTCGTTCTTTGTTTTGTTCTTGGAAAATACTGGCATATATTTCCGTGTATTTCATAACAAATACTCCATTCTCATGATATGGCCGATCCGTTCTATTGTACTAATGACTTTGTGCTTGAGGAATAAACAACCACGATTCTTGTGTTGTAATACTCGATACATAAAAGTGTATTGCTCTCCAGGTAAGGAATGGAAAGTACTTTGATCAGTATCGTCAAAGTACGAGAATTTTAAACTTACACGCTTTTCATTATACTCACTCATCCGGAACTTTTGTCATCTGTAGACTTCATTCGAATGAGCTGATCAGCTCTGTCATGCTATTTTAGTGGCCCGTTTATTTGCCGTCATTCTGATCAGACGATGTTCGTTGAAGGGCTCACCATTTTGGTAGCCCATGGATCTGACTCCAAAATAGATCGTACGAATGATTGTTATCGCCTTTTCTCGTAATATCATCGTCGACTTAAAAAAAAAAAAAAAATAACGGAATTAAATAGGTCGAATAACGAGAATTGATTTGTGAATACACATATTTTGTATATGAAGCGAATGAAACATAGCAAAGCAAAATGACACGCAGGGAAGATGGCTGGGAAGCCAACCCCCTTTTAGTCAAGCGTTACTAAATATTTATAGTCAGACAAAATAAAGCTACAGACATGTGATTAATGGGATAAGAAGTGTACACACATGTACGCTCATATAACAACAGTCAAGACTGATAAGCAAATAATTGACAAGGTCAAAATATGACTCAAGTAGAATGAATAGATGGAATGTCCGAAAGCTAGAATAAGATATATGGGCTTAAAATAATGAATGACACTACACTATTTACTGGTTTGTCGTACATAGAAGTGTACACTTTAAGCTGCATAATCTGTTCTTTAAAGAGCTACAAGTTTCAAAAAGTATAATAACGTTTCAACTAATTTCGTCAAGTCTTGGAAACTGTCTTTGTAAGGCTGATCGGAAATGAGTGCTATTTAGGTACGGTCTTGTGGGTAAAGATGACTACATACCATCCTTTCAATGTAGAAGTAACGGTCATCGGTACAGTGAAAATCTGAATATCACTGTTAGGAATAATCCATGAATACTCCAGTTTATATGGCCGACATTAATATTAACTATCCTGTTGCTGTTGGTTTCGTTGCATCTGAATCACTCAATGTCTTAAGTGCATTATCCTGGATAACAGCTTCTGAAGCAGATGTCCATAGCTTATTGTTTGTTTTCGTACTCTTCTCTAAAGTGAAGGGATTTTACTTTTCGATCAAGATAATGATTCAGTGATCCGCTTTACGCAAATAAATAATAAGTAGTGTAGGCTAGTTAAGACCTCCCGGAACTAGAGATCATTACATATAGTTGGTTTTTGACCAATTTATAATGCTGCATTACTTCTACACTTACGAACTTCTAGACAGACCGCCAAAGTGAAATTCTTATCAGTTCCTCAGCGTTCTTGTTTTCCTATTTCATTTGTTGTTTGTTATATCAGTATTATTGGCATATTTATTGTTTTGTTCAAAGTAGAAGTTCTGACCAGAATACTTGGTCGAAAATGATCGGGCTCTATTTTTTAGCTGGCATCCAAATATTTCTTTCTTTCTTCTAGATGTACATTGTGATAAATCTGGTGGAAAGACGGTAGATCTGACCCCATTAACAACTTATCGTAACAAGATATCATCCGAAGTAGTCAGTGACAACAATTTTGGTCAGTTCAAAGAAGCTAAGTACCATTGATCAAATTTCTTGAAATAACACTAATCAAGAATAATTGCAGGACAAGAATGACATTAGGTCTTTACAGTAGAGATATTTATTACAATAGCTGGTTTCTTTTTTATTCGTTTAGTAAAACCACTTGTGTTAAGATTGAAACTTGTTCTTTTACCGATTCTTTATTTCCACATTGTGAGATGTTATAATAACTTTAGTTTCTTCATTTGTATTAGGGGTTTCAAATCTTTGTATTAGCATGTCTGTGCATGGTAACACATAACCGCTTCAGCAAATCAGCTTGATGTTTCTTTAAATAAGAATTTAGAATGTTTCATGACGTCTATAACCAGTTACAGCCTTGCTTTATAGATCATTAACGTGCAAAGTGATCTTTATTTTAAATTAGTATTAACAGTAAATTATTGATTTCAAAAAAATTATCTCAAATTCTGTTTTAGATTCTCAATTAGAAAAATATGGTTTAATCCCCGAAGAAGTCTACAAAAATACAACTTTAAACTCTGATTCATTTCAAACTCTTCAAGTAATACTCAATATTGTAAATGAGAACAGAATTAAATAAAGTCCTTCAAATTATCACCAGAAAATTCATGTGACGATGATCAACATACATCCATGGATAGTGCATTATTGAAGCCAAACTCAGACTATGCAAAGAAATGTAAGTTGATCAGTCATATTTCACTTAGTGTTGTTTTATTTGTATCTTCTTATTGTTATTTAGGACTACAATTGATCAGCCTCATGTTAACATATGTGCATACTGTGCGGATTGCCTCAAAATAGCCTTTAGTCACAAGCCTTTTAAGCAAAGATGGCTAGTGGTTAGCAGTAGAATTCAAAACGCGCATTTCGTCCTATTTGGGGCTCGTCAGCTCGATGTACCTGTGTGGTGTGTGCTGCTTTTATCGACCTAAGTAGTATATGACGTTAGTCAGAAACAGAATGTCTGGCAGCAAAGAGACAAGAGGATCGAACAGTCAAGAATGAAAACTGAACGCAATTTGTATAAAAATCCAAGAACAATGAAGTCTAAGTCATTTTAAGACAAATGATGGTCATTTTGCAAATTGAGCATTTACTATATGGTTATTAGATTTTAATAACAAGTTCTGTAAGTTTGTGTCAAACACATTCCATTGTCCCCAGTCGTGTTCTTGTTCACTACCCCTGCATCCCAGAGTTGCACATATGCTAACACGAGACTGATCAGTTGCAGTTCTAAATAACAGTAGGAAGATGCAAGTAAAACAACACCAAGTGAATTTAAACCTCACCCCATTGCACGAGCATGTGGCTATCAGGACTCAGTAGCTAAGTGGATAACCCAGTGGTGATTGGGGCGATAGGTACTGGGTTCGAGTCACGGGGCGAACATCAACTCTGGGATACAGGTACATCCAAATAGGACGAATCGCGCGTCCTGGTTTACACTGCTAGCTACCATCTATCTTTGCTTAAAAAGTCAGTCATATTTGTTTATAAAACGCATATTTTGAAAATGTTGTGAAATCATTGGGAGGGGTCAGGATTTTAACATAATCGACAGCATATACATCGAAACGTTTTCGTTACACTATGATGGCTAGTTTTGTTAGATTAATTTATATCTATGTCATTCTCTTATCTTATTCAAGAGTAATTAGGACAGAAATAAATAAATCAGTAATGGGTTATCTGTTATAACTTTATCTACTCAGATAATTACAGTCACGCATATTTCTGATTCAGTTATTAAGACAAACATACAAATCACTCGAACTTGATTGATACGATGACAGACTGAAAATAAAAACTACACAAACTAAATATATCAATAATTTTATGAACTTCCGAACATTTCGTATCCATAATGAAAACATTTTGTGGTTTTATCGATTAGAGATCATAACGCGATGATAGTGAGAATGATGGTGATAATGATTACTGCAAAATTTTCTACCATTGCGAAAGTTTTTATTTCATAGGTGAGTGGTAACCAAACCGTAATATGTCATTAGGCCACAAAGTTGTTGACTCTCATATTGGAATCTGGTATTTGGTGTTCTGGACTCAAGTGGACGGACTAGGCGGACATAGGACTAATAAGGACGCTAGACTGCCCATACCGGTCGAACGTCATTTGTTTGGCACAGTGCAGAGATTTTAAAAGTCGTATTTTGATTGGTGGATAAATCACCAGATAAAAGCCGGACACAAAGTCATAACAATTACATTCAACAGTCAAGAATCTCAATAATAGAATAAATATGATATTCCATCCACAAACCATTTTTTATCAAGGAAAAAAATCGTTTTATTGGAAGAAGAGGGTTCACTGTCATAATTCTCATAAATGTTGTATTACCAAAATATGCAATGGTGAAATTATTTTTAAACTCCATGCACCATTGAATTCACTTGGTATAGTTTACTTGAACTTTCAAGTTTCACAAACAAGTGGCTATCAACTAATCCACAAAGTTGAGCGACAAATCCGCCATTGTCATCAGTGAGTTACTATCTCACAACTGACCCGTTTGAACTCCACTGGTTACTGCTTCTCACTAGAACTCCAGGATATAAATCTTGAAGCCAGTCACTAGTAAACACATATTGATTAGTATCAGAAGGGGTTTTGTGGAGATTTTAGTAGTTTCAATTGTTGAAATCATGAGACAATTGAAGCTAGACCACCATGGAAAACCTGTTTTTATTTATTTTTCCCTTTCTAATAGGTGTTCCAAGAGAATATTTAAAACGTTTCATATTTCCTATACTTTTGCCTGCCATGGAAGCAATGCTTGAACAAGCTAAACGAAGTCACTGTTTTGAGGTATTGACGTTTTACACATAATTTGTACATAGTTCTCTAAAATTCATATGCAATTTTTTCTAAATATTTTAGTCTACTGAAATTAACTGATAAGTAGCTTATGTAATAAACATATCAGTTTCTATCAAGTGTTATAAATGGTGATAACATTTATATATTTTTCAAAAAGATTCAAATATGAGTTTGGTAGATATTTATCACAAGGAAGGATTTATCTCTTCCAACAAGATATTTGGGATCATAATTCATGTCCAACCATCATTGAATTAGGAAAGTAATATCCATTAACTTTCGAGCGCATCGAAAATATCGTAAAAGATAGAGCACACGACTTTTGAGCTTCTTGAAGAGTATGTTACCTTTAGGCCGCTTATTTGGCATCTAATAGTTTCCAGGTTAAACTTTAGTCACATTTTGATATATTTCTATGATTATCCAATATCATCAGTAATGAATGACTTCTAACATCGTTGAATTTCATAGTCACAGCATCTTTTCTATGAGTAACTAGACACAATAAGTGGTGATTGTCGAAATGTCTTTTTTTCTCATCTGGAGTGAATTGTAATGCTAGTCACTCAAATTTCATGGGTTACTTATTTACAAACTATTCCGATATCTAAATAAGATTTTTGATTTTAACTAAATAAGAAATTCAATAAGAAAGACAGATAAAGGTCTTGGGAATAGAGCTAGGAAGATATTCTTAGACGATAACATAAACAAGAAACTAGAGTCTAGTCATAATATGTTGACTGAAATGGATTAATCCAATAATTATGTATAACATGAGTAGAATTTACGTACTTACACTTTCTAGAAACTTAAAATCCGTTACATGATACTGACTGATGTAGCGTTCAAGAGGAGTCTCTGAAGTAGTTAATATATTTTCTTGCCTTGAATAGACGGGATGTTGTAATGTAATAAATCATACAATATAATGTATAAAATGTGGAAACATGTGTGACCTATAAATATTCCATAAACAAGTAATCCTAACTTATAAATCAGTTTCTTCTTCTAATCTTGATAATCTATTCACAATAAGTTTGTTCTTTTTTGTTTAACTTAACATTGACTTGAAATGATTAAAGTTTTACATACTTTTGTAACAACACTCCTACGATTAATTTCGATTATGGTTAATTTTAGGTTAAGCCCTTTTATGAACGTATTTAATAGACAATGTTCTTCGAACGGTAACAATTCGTCTATTTCTTCATATTATTATGATCACATGTAACAGCCTACGCACATAACTCTCTCTCTAGATCACTTAAATATTACTCAATGAATCATTCTCTTTCTTATGTATGCGCTCGAATCCCATTAATTGCCTTTGCCTTATTTCATTCCCCCCCTGGTTCGATTTGACTACAAATTCACCTGTGTATTCTCTCACTTACACAGATTAGCCACTCTTCTCCAAATTTACTCGTTGTACTTGTAACTTTGTTATCTTTACTATCCACTAATAAATTGTAGTCACCGCTTCTTATTGCCCTTTGAATTCATACACTGTTAGAATTTATATATAATAACGGTTATCAACTTTTTGATTGAGATCATGAACCGATTGATGTTAGACCACCATTGAAAACCTGGAAGCACTGGACGGCCGTTTCGTCCTATTGTGAGACTCCTCAACAGTGCGCATTCACTATCCCGCTCGCAGGATTTGAACCCAGGGCCTTCAGTCTCGCGCGCGAACGCTTAACCTACTGAACCACTGAGCCGACATCCAATGGTGTTAATATCAAATTGCTGGATTAACAACGAAACTAAGTCACTATATTATTCTTAATTAATGATACTTTAAATTTTAATAATGAACAAACTAAGAGTTCAATTAAATCATTATTTAAATTGTTTTCTGATTGGTCCAATAATTTTTTTTAATATTTATTTTACTGTTATTTGATTGGATCATCAAGGTCACGATTCTACTCAACCTTTATAGGTCACTACATTTAAATTACTTGCTTTATTTATCTTGTATTTAAGTGTACTTTTTAATATTTTAACATTTTTCATACTTTTGAAGAGTATGTGACTGTAAACACAAAAATAATGTACAATAATTTCTATTTTTATGAATAAAATTGATGGCTAACAATGAAATCCAGGATACATATCTCGTCTTATTTGAGACTCATCAGCTAAATATGTTTACATCCCTTGAGTTGATGTTCACTATAGGACTCGAACCTAGTAACATTCGCTTCAAACGTCATCGCGTTATCTACCCAGTTACTAAGCCTAGATAGTCACTATCTTATGCAATGGAATGAAGTGTTTATTTATTTTTGTATTGTTTATTTGAATCTTTCCATTGATATCTCTTGTTGACATGTGTACATCCTGTGCGAATTGCTTCAATATTCCCTTAAGTCAATAGCTTAATTTTTTAATCAGTTTTCATAGAATCCATTAGCTTTTATTCTTCAATTCATAAGCAAATAACTCATTCCACCCATTTTGTTCTCTTCATTATTATAGAATACATTTTAATGCTCAGATATATGATAAAATCATTCATCTTTTTTGGAATTATCTCTATAATAGAACTTTCACTATGAATGATAGTTTCTATTGTATGAATTTAGTAAGAAGATAACTTTTTTAAAGTTATGTATCACAATAGATAACATAGTGTTGTGACTTTAAGTCACGTAATTTATTCGCCAATCGAAATACGACTTATTCACTCTTATACTGTACTATGCTAGGTTTGAAGTGGTTACGAGTTTACTTAGTCTGCGAACGAACAAAGACTTGTAACCAAAGACCAGTAACCTAGCTATTCTATTGCGTCCCATCCCCGCTAACTACATTAAGAAGTCGAAGTCCGAACGGGGAAGTATATTTCGCAAAAATCCAGAAGCACGAGCGATAACAACAGACACAAATCAAAACGCATAAGCACAGCACGAAACTGTCCTTGGGAAGGGTTACAAAATAGCATACTAAAAGACACAACGGAGCAATAGCGTTTGAGATTGTTCAGAGTGGGAAATATGACACGAAGGTGAAAAGAGCGCTTTTTTGAGAAAACAAAGAAATTCAAATTTTCTAAATAAAATTACAAAATTAGGACCTTTTCCAAGTGAGTTCTGGGAATCTAACGTGTCCCCGACAACAAACCAATAACGTTTGACCGGTATGATCTGCCTAGCGTCCTTATTGGTCTTTTGCACGCCTAGCCCGTCCAGTTGAGTCCACAACACCAATAACATCTCTCACTATGCGAATCATTTATTTCAGACATATTTGGTTTATATACCAGCCAAACAGACCACACCACACCATAAAATAGGAAATAATATTTGTATAAGATCAAGCCAAAAAGTGGATGTGAACGTGTTAGACTGTAATCAATAAACTGGGTATAACTTAAGAATAGTAAACCGTATCATAATAGTCGATAGGTCAAATGAAAGCTTATAATAAGGAGAATATAGATATACATAATCTAGTTACTGAATAGTTATACAAAAGGATAGATATATATAGAATATTGATCCATTAATAGATCTCAGAAGTAACTCGTTATTTAATCTTCGTTAGGATATAACACATAGAATAAGCAATTGATTTGGCTTACTGATTTACGATGTTTTATTATAAATGATAATATATAATAAATTAATACAACTTACCTCATATTATGAAATAGTTGATATATAGAAACAATGAATAATATAATATAATATAATATAATAGTGAAACAATCAGTGGGAACTTCAGGATAAATTGTTATGTGAGTTATAAGAGTGAGACTATAATCTATGGACGAACTAATCAGATTTTAGATAACAGATCTTAGATTTTATCGCGTAATTCATTCATTCATCTGGTTAAATACCATTTTGGCATTGTAGTTCATGTCAGTTCATTATGAAAACATTGAATCTAAATCCTAAACCTAACGTTCAACTGCAAATTCCGATCCTAATCCCCAACAGTAATATATAACCCTCATCTAAACCTAGTAGGTAGGTGGACATTTCAGTCAGTCAGCTACAACGTAAGACCAGGCACATACATGCATCGGTCCAAGTTGCCATACCTCATTAGCACAGCAAGATGAACACCGGATTCATAGGAGTGGTTAGGTCAAAGGTGGTAATATATAGGAGAAAGATTGCAATAAGGATATAGTATAGGAAGAAAGAATTAGTTCGTAGAAAGAAAGATGTGAAGTGATCTTAATCTCTTAGTTTAAGAGAAGACAGAGAGTGTATACACCGACGCCATTGTGATCGATTCTGAGCCATGTCACCAAGGGTCTCCAACCATTGGTTACGAAAGTCACGCGGACCCCAATCAAGTAGTCTGCATCTACCAACATGGCTCAGACTAGAAGTTAGTGACTTCGGGCACTGATGCCACGTTTTGGTTTGGCCGCCCCCAACTTTCTTCCAACCATCCCCTTCACCGGTTAGCATTGCACGTCGCGGTAATCGGTGTTCAGGCATACGTAATACGTGGCCCAACCATCTCAGTCGATGAAGATTCATAACCTCATCAACTGATTTACCATCATTCCCTAATACCCTGAGTTTAACCTCACTATTACTTAACCGTTTATCCCAACAGATGCGAGTAATATTTCTAAGGCATCTGTGATCAAATACTAGTAGCTTACGAGTATCTTCTACTCTTTTTTGTGTGTAAATACAGGTGAACTATAATTAATATGATTCTCATCAGAAGGGGTTCTGTGGAGATTTTTAGAAATTTCACTAGTGAAACTCCACAAAACTTCTCCTGATAATAATCATGTGCTCACTGGTGACTGACTTCAAGAGATACTCCTGGAGTTCTAGTGAGAAGCTGTGACCAGTGGAGTTCAACCAGGTCTGTTGTAAAATATCACCTCACCGAAGAAAATGGTGTACGGTGGCGCAATTTCGTAGATTAGTTAAAGTTAGACATTAACACCATTCGAAGCCAGCCGGCTCAGTGGTCTAATGGTTAAACGCTCGCGCGCGAGACTGATACGTCCTGGGTTCGAATCTCGCCGGAGGGATTGTGGATGCTCACTACTGAGGAGTCCCATGCTAGGACGAAACGGCCGTCCAATGCTTCCAGGTTTTCCATGGTTTTCTAACTTCAATTGAATCATGATTGCAACTAGTATAATATGATTCTATCATCTGCAGATCTGGTAACATTAAATAAAATAGAAAAGGATAGACTTTGATCACATGAAGTAATTCTGTCGTAAAACAAATAAATAGAACAAAACAAAATGAATAAAAATGTACATTGAACATTTATCATCTTATCTATAAATAGAAAGTCAGTTGTATCAAATTAGATAATAAATTATATTAACATGAATTGTGTATTATGATTGGTTTGGAAGGAAAATGACCTTCAAATTATTGATTATCTGTTTTATTTATTGAGCAAGAAAGAATATATATAAATATATGAAATGATTAACATTTTCAGATACTTTAATAGTTGAATTCATGAATCTATTTAAGATAGACCACCATTGAAAATCTACAAGTGACTGGACAATTGTTTCGTCTTAGTATGAGTTTCCTCAACAGTGCATATCAACGATCTTGTATATGGGACTTGAAACCAAAACCTTCAGTTTTGCGCACATGAATACTTAACTAATAGACCATTGGTCTAGCATCCAATGGTATTAACTTTAATCCATCCAAGATTTTGTACAACTATTCACTCATTGTTTGAAATGGATAATTGTCTCTACGCAACACAGACATCGTTTAGTGTGTTGTATAGAATAGCAAATCTAAAATTATCAGAAGGGGTTTGTGGAGATTTTTAGAAATTTTCACAGATTGAAATCATGAGTCAGTTGAAGCTAGACCACCATTGAAAACCTGGAAGCACTTGTGAAACTCCACAAAACTTCTCCTGATAATAATCATCTGCTCACTAGTGACTGACTTCGAGAGATACTCCTGGAGTTCTAGTGGGAAGCCGTTACCAGTGGAGTACAACCAGGTCTGTTGTGAGATATCAGCTCACTGAAGACAATGGTATATGGTGGCGCAACTTCGTGGATTGGTTGAAGTTAGACATTAACACCGTCGGATGCCGGCTCAGTGGTCTAATGGTTAAGTGCTCGCGCGCGAAGCCAGTAGGTCCTGGGTTCGAGCCCCGCGTGGTGCGGGATCGTGGATGCGCACTGCTGATGTGTCCCATACCAGGACGAAACGGCCGTCCAGTGCTTCCAGGTTTTCAATGGTGGTCTAGCTTCAACTGACTCATAATTTCAATCTGTGAAAATCTAAAATTGCCTAAATTAAATGTTTCAAGCAATTTGAATACTGCATAAGTCTCAACATGAAATGATAAGTTAAAATGAAAAGTTTGTGGAATTTGTTCAAGTTAAATAAAGAAAGATAATTGATGATATCATCAAAGAGGTTTACTTTAACAAGACAATTGTTAAGAACTAGTAAGAAGTAAACAGTTATCTTGTTTAAATTTAAGAATTTCTTATCACTTCACAAATACAATCATTATCCATATGGAATTCAACGTAGAACAGTTAATGTTGATGGTGTAATTTTTTTGTTATCACTTTACTATTGTGGTCATATCTAGTGACATACATATCCAACTTGAATAAACTAGAGATAATGGTCAATCATTATGAAACAGACTTTAGGAATTTATCATTTTAATATTCATCACTTGATTAATAGTGAATGGTTATAAAATGGTTGTTACTTTTTGGTAATGGAGAATTGATCATAGAATATTACAAAATGACGAAATATCCAAAAGCAAAATACTAATATTTATGTGTATTTTTGTAAGCAATGATCGATAGTGGTTAGCAGTGGAATCCAGGACACGCGTTTCGTCCTATTTGGGACTTGTCAGCTGGATGTATTTGCATCTCAGAGTTAATGTTCACTCTGGGACAATATTGAGGCATACGCACAGTATGCACATATCCCAATAACAGACTGATCAATTGCAGTCTTAAATCTCAATGGGAAGATAAAAGTCAAACAATACCAAGTGAATTTAATATTTATTTGTAGTTGTATGAATTCCATTTATTTACTGAAAATACATTCATAAGTTTAGATGAAACATTGTACCCTATAAAAATTGACTGATTTATGGAAATAATTAATTTTCTTCATCAACGGAAGTTGTTTTTTTTCAATGCCCCCCGAATGGCCTGGTACGGCTGAAAGTGCGGAGAGTCAGCTCTCCCTCTCGGAATGCTCTCACACAGCCACGTGTATAAAGCCACTGTCAGGCAAGTCCTACTCACTGACTTCTCATGGCGGGTCTGTTGTTTACGAAACTAAGAGGACGAAAGGCGAATGTCCGGCGCCTCAACCGGGTTGGTGGATATAGAGGATCTATTTAGGAAAGTTGTAAAACCCTGATTCCAAACCAGTGGTGCACATAGGGTCCAAGATCCTGAAGGAACAAATGGCGTATGAACCAATTATTAATGACCGGCTATCATTGGACTGCCTCTCCTTACGTTGCTCCATGGTCTTTTGGATTAGACCTTTAAATCGTAGGCTCTAGGTGTGGCCTCCTAAGAAAACCACCTGCTTCGATATGGGCACCCGTGTAATATTCCAGCCCTCACACAAATCGAATGTTTTATGTGGCGCATATCTGTTTGGTGCCTCCTTGTACGATTGTTTATGTATTCTGTCTGAAAAGAATTTTAATTTGCTTTGTTTCTTTTCCCCCTGAATATTTCATTTCAACACATAATTGTATTATTTTATTTTGAACATTTAAAGAAAAAACGTTTCGGATTCAATGGATTGGATTTTTTAACATTTTATTTATATAAAAATAATCTATATATGAAAGAAGATTATGATCGTAAAAATGTACAACACATATTAGATATACCATGGGTTATTGAAGAATTGAAAAAACATCCACGTAAACCATTACCACTTAGTTTACAATGGACAGATGAAGAAGCAGCAATTAAATTACAATCATATTGGAGAGGTTATCTGGTGAGTAACTCTTTTAAATAACTATCAGAAGAGATTGAAGTTAGATATTGACACCGTTGGATGCCGGTCGGTTCAGTGGTTTAATGGTTAGGCACTCGCGCGCGAAACTGATCAGTCCTGGTTTCAAATCTCGCCGAAGGAGGCAGGATCGCGGAGGAGTTCTATAGTAGGACGAAACGGCCGTCCAGTGCTTCCAGGTTTTCTATGGTTGTCTGGCTTCAGTTGACTCATGAATTCAACTATTTAAGATATCCAGCTGATGAATTATAAATTGTATGAAACAAATGTCTTGAATTCCGTTATTAACCCTTAAATGGAATGGTATTGAATTTGAGTCTTGGAGTTCACATCAACTCTGGGGTGCAAATACATCCAGCTGACGAGTCATAGATAGGACAGAACATTATCCTTGGGTTCCAATACTAGCCATATTTCATCTATTCTATGTTAGCTAAAAGAGGAGTGGAAAGATATAAACGGAGAAACCAAGGTTTAGAGCGAAATGAAGAGTAAATGTATCTGTTATGTCTGTCAATGTCATCTATCTGAGGAATGTTTAACTAATTTGTGTTTGTTACTGAAAGAATCAAACCTGACAAGGTGTAGTGAGAACACAAAATCTGATGATATGGACTTATTTGACTTCGGAAATAAGTGACTGAATTACAGTTAGATCAATAGTTAGATTTGTATAATTTATACGATAATATTCAATATTAATTAATACGTGAATAAATATTTGTAATATCTTACTGGTTAATTTTCGTACTAACCAAATTTTACTCTTCTGATTCTAACACGTCAGTATCTGAGCCACATACACTTCTTCTAAAATCATTTTTATCTAACATATTTAACCATTGACTGGCGTGTTAATTTAGTGTCGGTTATTTATTTACTCTGAAGAAGTGGCTTACATTAAGTCACGAAACGTCAGAAATACAATTTTTCTACTCATTGGGATATAACAAAATATATTTAGCATTAACCCTGACCCTAATTCAAAATTCCAGTTTAACTCTTAATTACTTACTTACTTAAGCCTGTTACTCCTCTTGGAGGAATATAGGCCGCTCACCAGCATTCTCTATCCAACTCTGTTCTGAGGAATCCTTTCTAGTTGCTTTTTTTCATATCTGCTTGCATTTCTCGACGCAGTGTTTTTCAGACTTCCTGTTTTCCGTTTCCATCCAGGATTTCAAGTTAGCGCTTGCCTCGAGATTCACTTTAGTGATTTCCTCAATGTATGTCCTATCCACTTCCAACATATTTTCCTTATTTCCTCTCCATCTGGAAGCCAGTTTATTCTCTCTCACTGCAGGCTGTTGCTGATGGTATCAGGTCAGCGGATATTGAGTATCTTGCGTAGAAAAATGTTTGTAAATACTTGTACCTTCTTTATGATGGTTGTAGTAGTTCTAGAAAATTCAGTCCTATACAATAGAACTGTCTTGACGTTCATATTAAAGATTCTGACTTTGATATTGGTTGACAGTTGTTTTGAGTTCCATATGTTCTTCAAATGTAGGAATGCTGTCCTTGCTTTGCCAGTCCTCAAATTTACGTCCGCATTCGATCCTCCTTGTTCATCGATGATGTTTCCTAGGTACATGAAAGATTCCACATCTTCCAGAGTTTCTCCATCAAGTGTGACTGAGTTGGTGTTCTCCGTGTCGTATTTGAAGATCTTACTTCATCCTTTTTGTATACTGAGGCCTACTTATGCAGATTAACTCTTAATACCTAACTCTAACCTTTAGATATCACAAATGATATCAGTTGGTCATGAAAATTTTGTGGGGTTATAAGCTTAACTCACAACACTAGCACGTCTCCTAATATATAGATATATGTATGATCGTGCCGCCTTTTTTATCACAATGGATGATTTGTCTTGTGACGGTTAATTATTCAGATCAAACCTATTATTCCACTGTTATTTCATTGCTTTGTATTGTTAGTTGTTTCATAACTAGGTAGTGATTCCTGACTGACTGATAAGTCGTCTAAGGTCGTCTATATAGTATACTTTTATTGTATTTCTACTGCTCCTTTTACATGATGCTTGAATTTCGCATAAAGATCTAAAAGTCTTATTCTCGATTATGATTGATTTGTTCCTAAATTATACTTTTACCACAAAAGCCTTCCTTCTATGATAACTAATGTAATGAAAATAACGATAATAATAGATCACATATAAAAGTTTATCATTCATGTTCAATCTGTTCATCCATTATAATTTCATCCTAAAATGTTTCATAGTTGAAAGCTGTTGTCGGTTCGGCTAAAAAGTAGGTCAAGGTCGTTCGTATACTTCATGTTCACCGATTTCAAATCAATAACATGATTAAAAATGTGTTCATATGTTAGAAAATTTCAATCTTTATTATGTTTACAATTGAACCATCGATAAACAGCTAATAGAAATTATGTAGCATTGAGTACCTATGTCATTCTAGCTCAGTTGGTTATTCAGCAACAACGTAGAAATTCGTACGTACGTACATCAGTTCAAGTTGCCATACCACATCAACACACAGATACAATTGTCGATTCAAATCCCATAACGGTAGAGGTAGTAAAAGTATAAGCACTAATCGGAAACATTAGGCTTTGAACATGTTATTCAAGGAGTATAATCCAGTGAAATAAATGTGAAAGGAGAAAAACAAGAAATGGATATGAAGAATTCAGAAGATTAGAATTTTGGAGAACACAAAGAGTGAATGCATCCGCACCATTGTAAACGATTTTGAACCATGTCATTCAAGGTCTCTAACCATCGGTTGCTATCATCTCGCGGATGCCAACCAGGTAGTCTACACCTACCAACAAGGCTCAGTCCACTTTTCACTGACTTCATGGATTTATGCCATGTTTTTATGTGTCCGCCTCTAGCTTTCTTCCAGCCTACTCCTACATCATAAAACATCGCTCGTCGGGGCAGTCGGTGGTTGGGAATATGTAATATGTGTGTCAGCCATCTCAACTGATTGCTGACGAACTGTCATCGTTCGATGCACATTAACTCCAGATATAAGCACTTAAAAGTGTTTTGTCTACTGTATGTTATTGTTCACTGGTTAGGTCTATTTTTTTCTCTTATTTACTGTTATAGGGCATAATATGATCTTTATTTGCAATCTTGTCTTCCTTATTGTAGTAAACTATATCAATCTCTATATAGTGGCTATACCAGTTTCATTTATTTCATTTACAATAGTTAGGAAGATTCTGAAAGAAAAGGAGATCATATCGTATTTAATTCAGTCTGTACAATGTGACAGTATTACTTGTGAGACTATCATACGAAGGGTTATTATTATTATCATTAATATTACTATTGTATAATTAGTAAACGCTTAGGCTGTTCTGTTTTTTTTTTTATATCCGCCTATTTCTAAACTTTCATTTGACCTACAAAACGTTGTCACATGTTTTATCGTCCCAGATTTATTACTGATTAATTCTTCCAGCAACACTCTGGTTTTGTATCATTTATGACTGAGTTATGTACATATCATGATTCCTTAATTGTGTTGCTATGTGGTCAGACATTTTACGCATATAATTGTATGAGTTTTTGTGTTATGATTGAATTAAGTACAATAGGAATTGATCTGCTTTTTACACTCATCTTCTAATTGGTTACTAGGTTGAAAGGAGCTCAAGGATCAGTAAGTGTTAAGGTCTTGGCTATTATTTACTATTGAATGTCTCCATCGCTATTTAGAAAGTCATCAATCCTACTCACAATATAGGTGAACGAATAGGTAAACATAACGGGCTGATCACAACGTACCCTACTGGAGAAATGTGTTTCTCCCGACGCAACACAATCAAGATCGACCTTGAAATATCTATTATACAGGGAAAAGAACATCATATAAAGGCAGAATTACACATTAAGTCTAGTTTATTGTTTGAATGTTCCATCTATAATATGATAAATAAAAAGTTACTTTTTTGTTTAAAAATAAGCACATATGAAAGTCATATCATTCCGGGTGGAATAAATAGTAAATATTGTCTTCAATGGTTAAGATCATGAGTCAGTTGAAGCTAGACCACCATGGGAGACCTGTAAGCACTGGATGGCCGTTTCGTCCTATTGTGGGACTCCTCAGCAGTGCACATCCACAACCTCGCCACCGCGAGGTTTGAACCCACGACCTACTGTTTTCGCATGCGAGCACTTAACCACTAGACCACTGAACCGGCATCCAATGGTGTTAATGTTAATGTTGTTTTGTCAAAATGCTTGATTCTACTGATATTAACCACTTTAAAAATAACTACAATTTCTATCACTAGATTATAGCGTTATATTAATTATCATTTGTCTCCTGTGATTCTCTTGTTAATTTTCACAGAACTGTCTTAGTTACTCTTTATTGATGATATAGGCTTATTGTGTAGACACTTTTATATTGCTTATATTCACAGATCACCTATAAATGGTTATTTTATGAGAATTCAGATCACATAAAAATCGTTTTCAAATATATTATACAAATAAATGCTCATGATTCAATGACGTAATAGTTAAAATACACAACTTTTAACAGATAAATCATAGGTTTGTACTCTGCTTTATCTATGACAGTCTTAGTAACTGGAATGGTATCGCTAGCCTTCACAATTAAGTATACTTCAAATTTAAGTGAATAAACTCATATAGATTAGTATCAGAAGGGGGTTTAGTGGATATTATAGTAATTTCAATAGTTGAGAACATGAGTCAACTGAAGCTAGATCACCATGGAAAACCTGGAAGCACTGGACAACCGTTTCGTCCTATTGTACGCAATGTTGAGGAGTCTCACAATAGAACGAAAAGAAAGTCCAGTACGTCCGGGTTTTGCATGGTAGTCTAGCTTCAGTTGACTCATGATCTCAACTCTTGAAATTCATATAGATTACTTTAATTTAAAATTAAACAGAGGCCAATATTTCGAATTAGTAACAGGAAGATTTTAGATTTATTAATCGCCATT